GAGATAGCATCTCCACAGGCTGCAGGATGGACATGTTGAAGAAAAGATGCTTCTCCAGGCAAGCCTGACAGCTGCTGCTCCAGCCAGACACCATCCTGCCTGCAAAACATCCACCAAGACAGCAAGATTAACAAGGAACTTAGTTTTTCCAGGAGTATAAGTCAGAGCAAAGAATGTGCATTTTGTTTATGCAACAAAGCTCAGTCTTCGCATCAATAAATTACAGCTTCTGTCTCTTACCAGCATGAAATGCTTGTAATTATTTCACCTTTTGTATCTGAATCAGCTTTAAAGAATAAATATGTGGCTAGCTTTGCAGAGACATGGAATATAGCTTAGCTATTGGCTATTAAAAGGCCAGATATGCTTTTTTAAGGCTTAAATGGCAAAACTGGAAGGAATATTAGTAAATTATATCACAGCTAATCAATATTTCCATCTGTTTTTCTTTCAAAATGTAAATCTAAATAACGAGTTCGTGCCACCGCTGAGTCTTTGGGGTAAACATCACTATCCCTGACACTCACACAAACACTCACTGCTGTGATCTCAGCCATCAGCAGCACTGCATCCTCCTCTGGCTGCACACTGCAGGCTGACAGCCATGGACCATGTTCAATATTAAATCTCTTAATAGGCTTTAAATCAATTACACATGACAGTCAACACAAAGGTTTCAGACATTTTGGCTACATAATAAACTTAAAGGATAGAAACAAAGTATCGATCAACCAATACGAGCGTTCGTATCGATACTATCATCAGCTTCTCCAAGTAGCTACCTTGGTCTTGGACGTATCTGACGATGTTGCCGCGGACTCCGTACTCGGACACCGTGCAGGGCTGGCTCTCCAGAGTCTGGAGCTTCTCGGCCCTCCGGAACATCCTCCAGAGAGCGGAGGGGACACGGCGCCGGGGCTGGAGGCTCCCTGCAGGCCTCGGCCTCTCGGAGAGCCCCAGGGACCTCAGGAGGAGCTGCTCCCGCCTGTTTGTGTCCTCCACGGGTGAAAGGGCACACGCGCCGAGAAAACACACCGCGAGCAGCAACACAGGAGTCATGCCCGGACTTTCGGTTGATTTTGGACTCGGCAGCTCCGGAGCTTCTTCACCTGTAACTTTTAGTTGAACCTCACGGAGATCCCGGCGCGCAGCTGCGTAATCATGTTAATGAGAAGCGGGCGAAGATAAGCGGGGGAGGAGGGCTGAGCTCGGGACAGGTCCCCTGAAATAACAATGACATTCCTGAATGAAGTCACCAAGCAGTCGCGCTGTTTACACTGTAAAATCAGCTTTTATTATATCCTCCATCCTGTTATAGGCTCAGACTCACTTTCTCTCTGAGTCAAATTCACCAGGTAATTTGACTTACAGGTGATTGGTTTTTTAAACACATGTTGAATGCAGAAGCTTCCAGAAACATGATCATCTCAATCCTCAAGTCCCCTCTTCTGTCATTGTTGGTCTCTTTTAAAAACCTGATGTGTGTGTCTTGTTTTATATGACCTGTGAGTCGAACCTCACTGTAAACGGAGCTCAATATAAGCTCAACAATGGATTCTGGGCCCCCAGGGGACTCTCGGAGGATGACCCGGCCACTCTGTGAGAGGTCTTTACTGCGCTAGTGCGGTGATGTCAAACAGAGGCTTTATCTCAGTGAAAACACTGGTAACACCGGGATGTGTCTGCCAGATAAGACGGCGCAGCAGTAACAGGCCAGTTTATTCAACAGCGTTTAAGGTATAGGTCTATAGCGCCATCTAGCGCCCGTTGAGGGTATGAACTTCTCATGATCTCTCATGATAATGCGACTTTGACTTCTTACAGAACTGAAGTGATAAAATTGTTCATGAGAAGAAAACATTCCCACATATTCTCATTTTAAATCTATTATGTTCCCTCTGTGAACCCTCAGAGTGGTTCTTCTTTTAATCTGCTATGAAAATAGGAAACAGATGCAGTGATTTTATTGAAACGTACACATACATGAATGGAAATACAGAAATGGAGTTTGAACGTCAATATCTGGTGTGATCACCTTTATTCTTAGACTTCCTGAGGTCTCATACGCCAGTGTTTTTTTAAGCATCTTCAGGAATAGCTCTCCAGGCTTCTTGATGTTGGCTGCCTTTTGTCCTGCTCTCTGTCAGGATGATTTCACGCTGCTTCGGTAATGTTGCAGCTCAGGGATCAGTGACATGCTGAAAACTGAAGCCAGTCCCAGTCAGATGGTATTGCATGGTGGATCCAAACCTAATGGTTTGTATTTCTGCACTTGTAATTTCATAAATTTTGACAAGATTTCAACACCACCGGTGGAAATGCAGCCCCAACCATGACTGAGCCGCCACCGTGTTTTACACAGTTGCACCTCTCTCCTGAATTCCTCTGTACTTATTGTCACAGATTTTCACCCCAGTTCTTGTGTAATTTGGGATACCCCAGCTTTTTCTCCCGTTTCCTTTGCTGGATTGTTTCCTAATTCCTAAGGATGTGGCTTTCAGGTCCTATTAATCTGCTGTGGATATTTTTTTTTAGGTCTGCCACTCTTTTTGTCCATGTCCTCATTGACATCAGCTTGTAATAAAAGCAGAAAATCACTTTGGTATTCAAGTGATCAGTGTATTCTCTGTAAACCTTTGGCTCACAATCAGTACTTTTAATATATTTATATTATTAATTGAAACTTTGGCCATGTTTAAAGTATCCGGCTCAGTGTTGCCCTTAAACAAACGGTTCTCAATCTGCAGAGCAGGACTCAGAGGCACGGCTGGTGGGGCCTGGATCATCATCGTACAGCAACTGCTTTTAGAGGTTACACAGCTGATCACCTGTCACTTTAACCCCAGCAACCTCTTCTGTCGCAGAAACCATCTGCATGTCCTCGTTTACCCTCTTCATCAGTGGTCCCCAACCTTTCCAGCAATATTTTTCACAGACCGGCCTTTAAGGTGTTGCGGATAAATTCAACAAAATAAAACCAGTACCAAAAAAAAATAAAAAAAATAAAAAAAATATTCATAACATGTGGGAAAAGACCCAGGGAAACAGAGTTAACAGTAAAAATGATTTAATAAAAATAACGCTAAAAACCGATAAAAAATAAATAAATTTCACACCCTCTTGCGGTGCGGTACCAAACCGGTCCGTGGCCCGGGGGTTGGGGACCGCTGGTCTACATCCCCCTGATAAATCTACTATCCACCTCATCTTTAAATTTGTCTTCAATCACAGTCATCCCCTCTCATATACTCATTCTCAGTCTTTGCCCATTTTGGTCACAAATGACGAAAATCTGAACATCAACTCAGCGACCTCCATCTTCAATCGCTCCACCGTCCCCCTCCACCCGGCCAGGACTCTCTTCATTGTCCATTGCTTCCGATAGTTGACCCGGTGTATTTAAACTCATCCACTTTCACTGCCTCTGCTCCTTACAGCTTCACCGTTACACCTCCCTCCATTCTTACTTTACTAAAACTTATTTTGCATCTTTTTGTACTTTCAATAAATTCT